GCGGTACCGGGCGGGAGGAGGAGGAGGAGGAGGAGGAGGGTGGGAGGAGGGAGAGGAGCAGGGCGAGGCGGAGGAGAGAGAGCGCTGGGAGCCGAGCGGGGAGCGCGGAGGGATGCGGGAGCTGGGAAAGGGAGGCACGGGAGGGATGGCAGGAGAATGGAGCGAGGGTGGAGGTGCGGGGATGGAGGACGGAGGGATGGGAGGGAGGCAGAGGCAGGGAAGATGGAGGCAGGGAGAGCAGGGATGGAAGATGGAGAGATAGGAGGAAGATGGATGGGGAGAAGAAGAGATGGGAGGGAGATGGATGGGGAGAAGGAGGGATGGCAGACGTGGAGGGTTGGGAGAGAGATATAGGGATGAGGGACAGCAGGGAGCTGGTGGGTCTGAACACCAGGATGCGAGGAAAATGGAAAGTGGAAGCCTGGGAGGAAAATGAAGGGATGGCAGAGATGGAAGATGGAGGATTATGGCATGGCTGGGAGACAGCAGGGAGGGCCGTGTCACAGGGAAGGGAAGGGATGGGATGGGGAGTCTCAGTGCAGGCAAGATGGGGCTGGGGGTCAGGGTGGCCCTGGCTCCATCCTGCAGCGATGCCCCCATGGATTTTAGAGCAGAGGGACCTGGTCGCAGGCATGGGCTTCTTGCTGCCTCCTCTCCTTAGCCACCAAGTCCTGGGTAGGTCGACCGCCCTTGGACCTCTGTGTGCCAGTTTTTAAATGGAAAGTGTCTAGGGAGCAAAGCTGATTGGGGTGTAACCACTGCCAAAACCCCCCTGAACGTCTCAGGCAAAAAGCGAAACGATGAAATTCCACATCTGCCACTAAAAAAAAAGGGCACAATATGCACAGGAGCCAGCAGCAAAGTGAGGAACAAATAAAGCAAAGGCTCTGTGTTCACTCAGTGCATGCACTGCTTGCCCAGGTATCCAGGGCTTGTTAACACCATTTCACTGAGCACAAAATGGGGTTCAAGTTCTAGGAAAACAAGGAAACCAGAATAAATCTTTTCTGCAGTGCTGTGGTATTTATTTCCTTTGCGTAAGACTGGATTGTGCAATGGTCAGAAAACTCCTGCCCAGTGTCACCTGTGCAATTAAAAGGCTAATGCAAAATCTTCTGTGCCCCGAGCCCAAGCATAGGTCAAAAGAAAGATAACTTAGAATTCAACTATGCAATAGTCCAGCAAACCGTTATGGTTTATACCATATTCCAGTGACCTTAGCAGCTAAATCAGGTGCTGTTACCTTCCTGCCCTAAGAGTCAAAATTTTCACATCACCTATTAATCTCTCATTAGTGTTTAAAGGGACACTTGACTTTTTTTTTTTCCTGAACCTGTATTTTCTTAGAAATATAATGTGATAGGGAAGATATAGCTTGGTTTTATACAGCATTCCTCTCAAAAAATATATAATGCAATGACTGTCCAAAAAAATAAAAAGAAACTTCCTAAAGGAAGCTCCAGGGACTCGCTCCGAGCTGGTCCTGGCAGGAGCATCGACATTACCATGTGGCTGGAATACCCCAATGCCAATGGAGACTTGGGTTTTACTGTAGGCTTTGGCGCGCAACATGGATGTGGCACCTTCTACACAAAGGTATGGGAATTGCCTTGGGAATTACCTTAGGTAGGAGCCAGGCTGGAGCAATACCCAGGGTCCTACAAGCCTGGGGAGATGGGCAGGGTATCCAAACTCTCCCTTTTATCCCTTTTCCCTCCTGGAATGAGGGTGCTTTGAGTTTTTACCCACCAGCCTCCAAAGACTAATGTCCCAAGCGGGTCCCGAGTTGATCCCTCCCCAGCAGCTACGTTGCCCTGCGGTTCCCGCCTGCTCCCAACCGGTGGTTCCCCCACAGCGCTCGGCCGGGGGAAAAGCGGGACCAGAGGCTGCCCGGGGCACACGTTGGATTTGCACGACGAACCAGAGCCCAACGGGCTATAAATAGCCGGGGGCACGGAAAAGATAGAGCCGCAGACCCGGCTAATCTGGGCTCGGCTGAGCCGCCCGTGCCCGGTGGGACTTAAAGTGACAGCGGTCAGTCCTGGAGGCTCCGGAGCGGATCCCAGTGCTCCCTTGGGATCATGGAGCATCCGCCGTCATTTCCACGCTGCTTGGGAAGCGCTTCCCCACGTTGCTTGTCCGGCACCTGCGAAACGCCGCTAATCCATCTTCCAATGCTCGGCGATGCACAAAGAAATCCAGCCGGGCAGCCAAGATCCGGGGGCGGCTGGAAGTTTAACACCTTGTCTCCATCCATCTGGCTCGGGAACGGCGCCCGGTGGCGGCTGACACAGTTCCCATGCATCCCCTTTGGTTGCTGGTCCCCCTCCTTGATTCTTCCCCTTTTTCAGGCTTGCAAAATGCCAACGCCAAATGACATGAGATCATTGGAGAAGACCGAGGCTCTGGAAGGACGAAGGGCAGCAGAGGGCAAGGACAAGCCAAGAACTGCCACAGATCACCCAACAGCCCCCTGCTCATCTGAGCTGTTATTTATGCAACATAATCAATTATTCACATAATAAATGAGAGTTTTCTTTCCTTTTCTTTTGCTGGGAGGCAAAAGTGTCAGCTGTAGAGGATTCCCGATGCCCCACACTCACCAGCCTGACCTCCTGGAGCATCTCTCCCGAGGGAAATAGATGCGATTTCCCTCCTTCGCACCTCTCAAAGCAATAGAGATATTTACCTTGAAAAAGAAGAAATGCTGTTTCCTGCATCCGCACAGGCAGCAGGCGCCAGCCCAGCAGTCACAGGGACTTAGGGAGATGGGGCAAAGGAGAGGTGGGCAGAGGGCAGCCCCAGGGAGGGACGAAGCCTCCTGCTTTCCTTATTAAACCACAGCCCCTGCGCTGGAAGAATCCTGGCTGCTCCTATCTCCTGATCACCAGGGATGAGGGGCTGCTGTGGGGAGGATCTCACCAAGAACAGAAGCTTCAGCTGCACCTGGAGGGAGAAATTAACGAAGTAATGAGCAAATTCACTGCCGAGCTCACCCTCATCAAAGCCTCTGGAATTACATCAGCTGTCCATGTGTTTTCATGCTCTGCATCACCTAAATTTTAGACTTTTTTTTCTTTCTGGTCTTCCTGGGGCATGTATCTTTCTTGAGATCCAGGCACCAAGGCTCTCTGTGCTTTGTAAATTGGCTTCTATTTATTTTCTATATATTTTATTATTCATAGAGTGTCCCATACCATTGTCCAAGTACCGAGGGGCTGGCAGCACCTTGTTGCAGGCTTTCTTCTTCTCCAGTAAAGCTTTCCTATGTAAAACCCATAGATCCGAGGCAGCTGGTTTCCCTTAAAGCTTCATTTGTTTATTTTCTATGTCATTCATTTTAAACGTGATCGCATCAAATTTTTTTGTTCTAAACTTCCTAAATCTTTTTCTCCCTCGAAATATAAAGCAGCAGCCTGTGTTAGGGCTCCAACACGCCTCTTTGGGGTTTTGTTTTGGGTTATTTTGGGGTTATTTTTTCCGCTTTTGGCGGCGCGCACGCACCCCCCCGCCACGGGGGCGGGGCCGGGGGCGGAGGCCCTCGGGGGGGGGGGCCGCACGCAC